CCTGTAGCGCCCATATCCGCCCCGATGAAGACCCCCAAAAACTCTAATCCTTCTTATGGGAACCGCACGATGGTCCTCAAAGCTCTAAACCCAAAACCCCCAACCCTCAACCCTAAACCCTAAGCTCTAAACCCTGAAGCCTAAAACCCTGAACCGTGAGCCCCATAAACTCTAAGCGCTATGTGGGTAATATTGACTACCTGGACCCTCCAAAGTATGAAAAATAGCGGCCTATCTGCTGATATGATGGGTTTAGGGCTATTATTTTACATACTTTAGCTCTAAACCCTGAACCCTAAACCGCGTCTTAGGTTCTAGGGTTTATATGCCGAAAGGGACGTGCCGGAGCCCGTTCGCAGCTCGAGGAGGCTCAGAGGCCGGGAAGATCTGGGTGGTTTGGCTCGCGGGTTTAGGGCCTATGTAGGGGGTTTTCTGGGGTTTGGGGTTTGGGGTTTGAGGTTTGGGGTCAGGTTTAGGGGTTTAGGGATTTAGGCTTTAGGGTCTCTTGCTTAGGTTTAAAGATTTACGGTTTAGGGGTTTAGGGTTTAAGTTTGGGTAGGGTTTTTTAGAACTGCCTTCAAGGTCCGGCTTCAGAGCTTGTAGAATCTAAAGCTTGTTTAGGGTGGCGGGGCCAGGTGACACAGATGTGGGGAGGGGGCTAAGGTTTCGGCATTGAGGCAGCAGCCGCTACCACACATGGATCCCATTATTGAGCTTTTCCTCACCAAGCCTGGCGATGCTACTCCTTTTTTCTGCTCTGAGGCATCCACCCAGCCCGTTTTTGTGCTATCCCTGATGGTCCAAGGAAGCCTGACGGAGCCCCAGGTGCAAAATACTATTGAGAGCATGGGGACTAAGTACGCAAAACCATCATTTTGAATCCTTGGACCCTTAGGGCTAACACGTGTTTCACGCTTTGCCTTCCTCTTTCGAACAAGAATACAGGGGCCTGAATGAATACGATCGTTACTGTTCTAGATTTCTTGTATGCTCATTGCACAGGCTACCTCAAACGGACTCAAAATGGTAGTGGTCATTTGTTTAGGCTCCTAGTTTACATACCTGACCCTTACACACTTAAACCAATTTCCATGTCATTTTGTTTTGTTCTCCATTTCCGTAGGGATCCAAATAGCCCAATGTAGGTAATATTTACAGACCTCTGGGCCCAATGTAGGTATTATTTGTGTACTTGGATCCCTAGGGTGTTATTCTCCATTACCAGTTTAATATTCAGGCTTCTGCACTAGCTTAGCTGGGACTCACCCTGGTGTCAGGCTGAACTCCACAATGATTAGGGTTTAGTGTTTAGGGTTCAGGGCTGAGGGTTTAAGGTTTAGGATGTAGGGCTAGACATGACTCAAACCTTTGATTATTGAACTCTGTCGGCTGGACCTGCTTGCCGCTTTCCCTGTCATTTGGCATGGGAGTTTCTCCAAGTTATCCTTACATCATCCCAGTCAGGGTCCTAACCCACACCCGTGATTAACAAATCCTCCCCCCTTAATAGGGATTGTTATGGGGATCCGAAGATTCAGGCCCTTAAAAGGAGGGGTTTATTAATCACGGGCCAAGAATCCCTAAGCCCTAGACCCTAAATCCGTAATCATTAAAACTTGGTCTGAAGCAGAAAGTTTTGCCTTGGCAGGCCCTGGGTTGGGGCTTAAAATCTTAAACCATCGGGTTCTTCTCTTGCTTTAGGGAACTGCCTGTATAAGCCCTAACCCTAAGCCCCAAACCCTAGACCCTAACCCTCATCGTAGAGCAGCTAACCCCAGTATCCTTCAAAATACTGGCCCCAAAGTTGAGGGTCTACCTAAACCCCCAAAGTAGGTAGAATAATGGCCCAAAACCCTTAAATATAGCCCAAAAGGCAATTATTCTACATACCTTCAGGGCTTCAGGTAGGGTTTAGGGCTAAGGGTTTGGAGTGCAAAAGGCTTTCCAAAAAAAAACGTGCGCGGCGCAATGCCCAGAATCAGCCCTAGGGTTTAGGGTTTAGGGTTCACCAATCCCAAGCCTTCTCCAAAGGTACATCCGGATGAACCCTAAACACTAAACCCTAAACCCTAGACCCTAGACCCTAAACCCTAAACCCTAAACGCTCTAGGTATCTGTATACACACAGGAAGCTTTAAGGCGGAGGGTTGATTGGGCCTCTAAGGTATACCTACAAACCGTTTAGGGATTCTAAGGGTTTAGGGTTTAGGGTGTAGGGTTTCCCCCCAACCCCCAGCCCGATTTCAAGCTAGACCCTAAACAGGCTGCACTTTTCCTAAATAACCTTATAACTCAATAGATCGTACCCCTTAAGTAGATAGAATATGGGGTATATGGGGATCTTATTGAAAACATACCCAAAGCCGTATTCTATCTACTGAAGGGGGACTGTAACTCCAAAATCCTGAACGTCTCCATGTCAGGCGCCTGAGGCTGCAGGAGGGTGCTCTCGAACGCGTCAGGAGCTCGAGCTACCGGAAACCCTAAACTCTATAGAGTTTAGGGTTTGGGGTTTAGGGGCTATAAACATTAAAGTGCCCAAATTCTTTGGCCAAGAATGGAGCTATAGTTCCGGCTTTTTTGGGCGCCTCTGGGACCCCGGGACATTTGAGGTTACCAAGACTTCACGTTTCTTGGGTCACTGTCGAATAAGTGCTGTAGTCTTCATGATCCGAAGTATTAATTATTCGTGGGGGTAAATCGCAGAGAAGTATAGGGGGTAAGATCTATTCAGAATCAGTTTGAATCAAGTGAAATCAAACTGAAATCGGAATGAAGCCAGTTCAAATCTGTGCAAAATTCTAATTAATCCACATCTAATCTATTAAAAATCAAAGCAGAACCTAATCAAGATCTGTTTGAGATTGTAATAAAACCCACTTAGAGATTCCAATACCTAATTAGAACCAGATGAAGAACCAGATAAAATCCAATTAAGATTTACTTAAAATATCACAATCCTATTTCAATCAAATCAGAACCCAATTAAAATCCATGCATTCTACTTTCAAATCCAGTCAACATCAATTCAGAATCGTAATGAAATCAGATCAAATCTATCCGAAAAGAGTTTATTTCAAAATTGACTAAAGCGTACATGAAATCAGTTGAAATCCGATTAAAGTCAATTTTTAACAAGGGTTCAAACAGCAAGAAGATCAGTTAGAACCGCATTCAGATTTTATATGAACTATGGTAAGACCTAGAAAAATAGCCCGGTATATCCAGAGGACCCCCGATTTCCTGTGGATTCCCTACTATAATTCACCTGATGTCCTCAGAACCCCCTTGTGATTGCTGGCCGGGATCTTTTTAAAATGTGGCCTTGGCCCTGTCAAAATAGTCGTGCAGGAATATCCGGAATTGGGATTCTCTGAGAGGTGTAGTCATTATTAAGGCGGATTATTGAAGCTCCCTAGAGTCGCGGAATACGGTGGATGGGGAAATCTTGCACCACTTCCGATCTCCAAAATACCGTACTCCGAAAGCATGAGGTATAAGAGCTGGTGCAAGATTTCTTCGATCAAAGACGCCAAATGCTCAAACCTAAGCCCTAAAGCCGAAATCAGTAGTGTCGGTCAGGGATTTGGGGTTTTAGGGTGCTTGCGGTGTACTAGGCTTTGGGAGCAGCAGGTGAGAATTTGGAAATGGGGTGCCCTCGAAAAAAGGAGCTGCATGTCTTGAGGGTTGCGCCGTCATGTTGATACACGAGAGATACCTATGAATTAGCCTATCAAGATCAATCATCCACCGTGAGAGTCTTGAAGAAATATCGAGCCCAAAGTCTATATCCCAAGTGGGGAGTTTTCCGTGTAGTCATACAATAGGCTCAGTACTAACCCTACACCCTGAACCCTTCCCCCCCTAGCCCCGAACACTTTAAGCCTTAAACCCTGAACCCTGAAACGCAAACTTCAAGACCAACATACTCCACCTCAATTTGCAATCCTCAATTTGCAAGCGAAGGTAACATCCCCATGAACCTCAGACCATCAGCCTTGTCAGTATACGTAAACATGCATGCATATGTGTATATATATATATATGGATTTCATGTTCTAATTGTAATATATCAACATACCTCTATGTGTGTATATATATATGTATGAG